GGGAAATGACGTCGCAGAAACCAATTAACGACGAAATTTTTCGGAGAAAATGGAGTTGGATAGGGCACTGCCTAAGAAGATCGGAGGACAACATATCAAGGATAGCACTAGACTGGAACCCGACGACTGGCCGTAGAAGGCAAGGCCGCCCTGCCATTACCTGGAGAAGATCTATCCTGTCCGAATTAAAATCTGCCGGAACAACATGGGCAGAGGCAAAAGAAAAAGCTCAAAATAGAAATGTCTGGAGGAAATTTATTGAGGCCCTATGCTCCACGAGGAGTTAAAGGATCAATCATCATGGGAAATCATTATTTTTAAATGTGATCTGTTTCAAAATTTGCGATTAGATCAAAGACCTGAAAAGAATTGAGTACGTCTTTCAGGGATTTTCGATTTTTAACCCTAAAGGGGGTAAAAGATGGGTTGCAGCGGGTGAAACCGCTGATGGGCAGCTAGTCATATCATAAGATACTCATCTTAGTATTCATTGTCATGTTCACGCATTGTGTCGCTCGAATTGGCTTTTACACAGAGATGTTATGGAGCTCCGTACTATCGGATACATCCGATATAAAAATACATCCGTAATCGAAACCGATTCCTTTGCCGTGTGGTGCCGGCTTAGAATAGCATCACCCCATTTCTATCCGTGGGTGTGGTGTGGTATAAAGCAACTAAGGGATTGATCTAGGGAATAGGCAGCAGCGTTCCCTGTGAATATCTACGAACAACACCTTGCACTGCGCTCGCCAATCCGCATGCCCAGCGTGGTGAGTATGGCAATACCCCCCATTTGGGGGAGGCCCAAGTCCAGCAGTGGACTGTTGTGGCTGTAGTAGTAGTATTGTGTTTCCCTTATATCCGTAACCGAAACTTACGCATAATGACGTTTTCATTTACGTTTTCGAAACCGATATTATATTTTTTCAGTATCCGTATCCGAAACCGCAACCGGTTCATATCTATAACATCCCTGTTTTACACCCTATGGAGCTATGGAATTATGGAGCCTCACAGCACCTGTCACGTGCGCGTGCCAAATATCGAATTATGCACCAAATTATGGCGCTTTCAATACAATCATGCCTATATCCTTTACGGGGTAGGCAGAGCCCCTACGGTTCTAAAAGGCCCTTTATTTATTATCATTAGCCTTACAAGTAATGTAATCTAGGAAAAGTCATGCCAAGTCTAAGGTTCCTTGATGCTATTCGTTTATTATTATAGTTAAAGTTGTTATACGACTGGCCGTTGAACATTCTTTATATGTTTGTGGATACAAGTCAACGGCTAGTCGTATAACTTCAACTACACTCGACTTCAAAAAAATCGCACGTCCGTAAAAATAGGCTTCAAGCACTGGTAATCCTTAAGACAAGCAGTTATTCGTAGCAATATTGGTATCATTTGAGAGCCCTATAAAAACTCTTTTATAAAATATCCATTTCATTTGAATAAAGAAAAAGCTTGACACTTCACGTCACTGTGAATGACAATGGAACTGATTCTCCTCTTCAAATTTTGTTTGTATTGTTTTGTTTTTTGGGTATAAAAGGGTCGATACAGCTTATTGGGGGATAAATTTGCTACCAACAGTCGAAGAAGACACAGAAGAATATCTTTCATCAGAAAAACGTCCTTGAAGATGGACACTACAGCTGCTGAAGCCGCCCAAGTTATCGCACTACTGCAATCAGGACTACGTCAGTGTGATGTTGCTCGGCAATTGCACTTGAGTCGCTTTTCTGTTCGAAGAGTGTACCAGCGGTTCCTGCAGACCGGTGGCTTTGTCCGTAGGCGTGGGTCTGGTAGAAATCGCTGCACTTCTGCGAGAGATGACCGATACGTCGTATCGAAATCTTTGAGAAATCGGTTCTCTAATGCTGTTGAGTTGCAACAGCAGCTTCAAGCAGTTCGTAGAAGGGCCGTGAGTGTCTCTACAGTTAGAAGAAGACTAAAGGAGAGAAATATTGTGGTTAGAAGACCTGCCACGGGTCCAAAATTAACCGCAGCGCATCGGCGAGCACGCTTGCAATTTGCTCGCGCCCACGTTAATTGGACCCTGGACCAATGGAGAACTGTTCTCTTCTCAGACAAAACGAGAGTGTGCCTTTTCTGCAACGATAGACGCAAAAGAGTATACAGAAGACAATGGGAACGTTTTGCCCAAGCCTGCATCCAAGAAACGGTAGAATACGGGGGCGGTTCCTGCATGTTCTGGGGCGGCATATCTGCCGATGGCAAAACTGAACTTTCTTGCGTCTCTCGGACCGGCGGTGCTCGCGGGCAAGGGTCGATGACTGCTCACCGGTACATCACAGAAATCCTGGAAGAACATGTGGTCCCCTATGCTGGATTTATTGGCGACGGGTTCACATTAATGCACGATAACGCTCGCGCGCACACTGCTGGTATTGTGCAAGGCTACCTTCAAGAGGTTGGGATCCCTGTCATGCAGTGGCCAGCGAAAAGTCCAGATCTGAACCCGATACAGCACCTCTGGGACCAGCTGAAACGCAAGGTTAGATCCCGTGATCCCGCTCCCGCGACTCTTCAGGAGCTCCAAGACGCCGTTATTGAGGAATGGGACAGTATCCCTCAAGAAGAGGTCCTAAAGTTGGTGCGATCCATGAGGGAGCGCATGGAAGACGTCATTAGGGCTAGGGGGGGTAACACTAGGTTTTAGGTTAGTTTTAAGCAACTTTGTTCTGAAAAATTAATCAGATTTCATTAGGGTTTTTAAGGATTTTTATTGTTTTGTAAATTTTTCTCAGTTCCAATAAAAAACATTGAATGAATTATTGTTTTTGCATTCTCTGTTTCCTTACCTTTCAAATGATACCGAACATTACCAAAAATGTTTGAAATAGATTTCTTAAAAGGTGCGATTATTTGAAGCCGAGTGTATAATAATATAGGTAGGAATAGCATCAAGGAACCTTAGACTTGGCATAACTTTGTCTAGATTTGATTACTTTTTAGAGATAAACAGGAGAGTTTCCATCGAGACTTGGCAAGTCATGAGTGTTTCTTTGCGCTCGAATTCCGTGCCTCCAGATTCAACAAATAATAATAAACAAAGTAAAATAATAAATAATTCTTATTCACAAAATAGATAATATAAATGAAGTGCTGCTATTCTAATTCTATTATGCAGCACCAAATTATGCAAGAAATTATTATGGCTCTATCAGCAAGCCGTTTTGAATATAAGCCAGTTATTCCCGAGCTATTTCAACCGCGCCTCGTTTTGACAGGAATTACAGCCGTCATAATCGGATTTGGGCTTAGCTATAGAGTGCGCCTAAAAAGTAAAAACGGTTGGCAGTAGTCAGAACACAACCTCTCTGTCCATCAGTAGCAAAACGCCAGTGACTACACTACTTGACCTGTACAACTTCTCATACATACTTATTTTTTTTGCCTATTCCTTTCTACCTGGTTGCCTGGAAGATATTGCTACTTGAGCAATAAGGCCTCCAATTATTGTACAATTGTTTAATTTCACTTTTTAATATACTGTTTTCCTTTTGTGCAATAAAGTATATTGTATTGTATTGTACATTTTAAGTAATGTATCTAAGGAGCAACTGCTTACGTTTTGACAGTACGACGCGGGGCGATATGCGCACTCTATAGCTTGCTCATATACTCTAGGGATTTACGGCTTTTGTGGACGCTAAGTCGCTGACAGAATATAAATGGGGGTTCGCTGCAATGAAAACTATTTGATAAATTATTATGTGTGAGTAATAATTCTTCACATGTTAGATCGTGTGTGGTGACGGTTGTTAAGTCAGTGTTAACCATACATAAGGGGTCCTAGAGGTAGTACGCCCCACACAGAAGGAGAACTTAATAACAAATTTCTACATCAGAATCGGTAAGTGTTTATTGAAATACTGAGTCACCAGCTCGTCCAAAAGCTAGACACAAAAACTGTAGTTCTCATTAATTACGTTTATTTTAATCCCTGTTTTCACCTATTTAGTCAAATTAGTATTTACGGCTAATATCACCATATGATCTTGTTTTGTATCAATACATTCATTACATCATAGTATAAAATGAAGTAACTTTTTGCGTTTCTCTGTCTGTCTGTCATAAAATTCGCTAACACATTTTGATGGTGTTTTTTGTAAGAGTGGGAGTGATTCAAGAGGAATTTATATGTATATCACATGCCGGGAAAACTACTTTTTCCGCGGAAAAATAAGTTGCAGCGGGTAACACCACTGACGGACGGGCCGCTAGTCAAGGACATACCTGCCAAGCCCAAGCATTACCGTCTTGAATGAAGCATACGAAAACAAGATATCTTATCGAAGTGTACTGTGCAACCATAGTTAGGACAACGGTGAAAGGTTCTTCATGCTGATTCCCATCGGCTTCCCTTTTAGATATTTACAGTTGGCTGGGACGGTGCCAATCTAATCCATACCTAGTAGGTAGGTAGGTACCTACTCTACTCAATCGACTCATTAAGTAAATTTTTTGCCCCGGCCTGTCTTCGTTAACATGTCATCCTTCGACTCTGTTATGTAGTACAAATTAAAACTGTTGTGCGTGTTAGATGCGGTCATTTTAATCCCGAATGACAATTGATTTGATCTTACCCGAAAGTCGTCTCAAGGTCATCTCCTATTAAATATAGTAGGAGATGATTCCCATAATAGTCAGCAGATGACTTTCGGGACAGATGACAAAATTTTAGTGATCCAAGCTTCTTTTCGTGTGGGACTCCGAGTCGTCTAACGGTTCGATGAACCTAGGTGTCAGAGTTTTTCAACCGCTTACTACAAGTAGCGGGCCTTCGACGTAGTTGTGCAACGAACGACCGTCGTCTAAGCTAAGTAATCATAGAGAGCTACCGACGACTTAACGTGCCCTCCGAAGCACGGTCCCGTCTTGCTGTCGGACAATCAGATGGTTCAGCCTGCAATGTCCTAGCCAGACTGGGAACAAACTCACACAGTGGTTTATCAACTTTTAAAGTGAACCACCCACCGGGAATCTAATCCGGAGCCTTCTGCGTCGCAGGCAGTCGCTCTACCACTGCGCTACATGGTTGTCGTTATGTCGTTGCAAGCAGTTATGTATGTATTTTGTTTACAGCCAAGCCATTCTCGCACAACGTAAGTTTGCTTCAAGCAAGGCCATATGAGGCCGTAGCGGCCGTAAGATGTTTCAGATTTCCCCAAGAAACCTTATCGAAATAGGTGTCTTTCGGATTTGAATCGATTTGAAACACTAATGTGAGACTAGAAACAGTATTTACAAGACGTGTAAGATTACGTGCATCGACAAGAAATGTTTTATCTGCTAGCTGCTACTTTTAAAATAATCAGTCTTATTTTTATTTGAACTCTCTCACCACAGCGTAACGACTTTGCTTCAAGCAAGCAAGGCCATATCAGGCCGTAACGGCCGTAAGACGCCAACAAACCTTATCGAAATGTAAGATGTTTCCGATTTCCGCGCATTGAATCGATTTGAAAGACCGATGTCTCTATCATTTACAGCGACTTGAAAGACTATTTACAAGTGAAAGATTACATATTCGGTGTGGTTCCGGCTTAGAATAGCATCACTGCATATCTTTCCCGTGGGTTTCGTAAGACTAAGGGATTTTGGGGTATGATGTGTATCCAGTGTATCGCAATTTTAGGCGACAGACTGACAACTGACACAGTTTTCTGAATGACTCTCAGACGTGCTGTAAATGGCCGTTTTTAATAGTCGATTACGCTCAGCCTACCTCGCAAGGGATTTAGGCGTGTAAGATTACATAAATAATCTTTGGAACATTATTTTTTTATAGCAGCTTGGTTTAAAATGAGCAGATTCTTTTCCTATTTGAAATCTGTTGGATTTTCGCCCTCATCAGTTTTAAAATCTTTCAAAGAACAAACTCGCATAATAAAGTACAACATTATTTTAGTATGCAACGCGGTTTAAAATAGCTTAATTATGTGGAAAACCAGTGTGAAACTGATATAGATCTCACCCTAACTCCGCAAGGTGAGCGACTGCATATGCAAGCCGGGTTTGCATCTCAGCCTTGAATATGGACGATGCATTGCTCTACCTACATAATACTAAGGCGCTAACTCCACAGGTAGGTAAGGCGTAAGACATAAGACGGAGACGCGAACGTGCGGAGCTCGAAACCGTTTCCATATAAAATGTATGAAACAGAAAAGACGCCGCCGTCCACACACGTGAGACGCGAGTTGCATCGATGACCGCCGACAATCACTTGACTGACAGATGTCATTTTATGTCTCGTCGTACGTCTCATGTGTGAATATAGTCCCTAAGTACGTACATAAGATATGGAGACGTAGCTATATTTTATCAGTAAAAATTTAATTTCAAACGCATTATACATTGTATTGTATTGATTCATACGTCAACCTACTGTCAATGCCAACCAAAAATAAAATAAAATAAAATAATTGTGTGGGACACTGAGTCGACGATGAACCCGAAAATAATAGTTTAAACATATGATACCATTGCTTAGGTTCGTTGTAAACAACCGCTAAGTATGTCTGCTGTGCTGATTAAAAATACTCAAGCGGTCGATTTCTGCAAAGAAAATGCGCTGTATGTACTTATTTGGCCTAAACCTTGACCATGACACAGGCTGCATTGGATGGCCATCACTAATAGCTACACGAATACAAACAAGCATAGAGGAATTTTAGAAACATTCTTATACATATATTCGAATACAAGATACCAAGTGAAATGTGAATTCAAAGCGCTAAACCGGAATTTCCGGTTTCTGCACATGTTTGGCAAGCAGATCACAAACAGATAAACATTTTTGAACACTTTCTGTGTAAAATAAAATTACTTTATTTTTCAAGTCATGAATATTCTGACATGATCGGAAGTGATATCATCGTAAGTACATATATTTACTGTTGGGTGTGTAATCTTTATGGGTTTGCAGAAGACGACGCTCAGTAAATATTGGTAATTTGGTACAAGTAGTACCTATATTTTCTTTGCTTCTCTCAATTATTACTTTTATTTCGCATTCATTCATTCATAAAAGTAAATAAAGTAAATATTTAGGATTCTGGCACCTTTGATACGCTAACGTTTACCGTAGCCCCATTTCTTTTGAAGCCCTCCTGCCGTACCTAATTAAAGTGTATGCCTATTTCTCTCGTAAATTTTATTTCTAAAGGGCGTTACTAAAATAATTTGGTTTTTGACTAAATGAATTACGAAAATTCACTTACTTACCTATACTTTTACAAATTGATTTAATAACAGACCTGTCTGGACTATAAATTACGATAGCTTTTTAAATTATTAAAGCTATTAGAGTTACAATGTCAATAATATTGATTTTTTACATTCCAGTTGTGTCTGGAAAATACTTCCTGCGATGTAAGTTTTTACAAAAACCTAATCACGGTAATAATCCCGTTTAAAACAATAATTTAAATATTTTCTGCGGTTCTTCAGGATACCATCATCTGATTTTAAACTATTTGACGATGATGGGACCACCTATGGAATATTCAAACGAAAACGGATCGACCCTGGTATCTTTGAATAATCGGTAGACGTACCGAACATTATAACTACGGAACTCTAGAAATAAAGATATGTCGCAGGAAATCCCGGAAAATGTCGAAATGCGTTGATCCATTCGTCATCTTTCTGTAAATTACTAGTTGGCAGGCCCCTAACATGGTTAGGTAGGCCTTGGACATGGTCAGACAGTCCTGACAACCTGTCAGTGCAATTAACTCTTAGACACAATAATATCACCGACACTGGCATGTTGTGTAACTGGATGTAACCTGATAAGGAAGCTGCTCATTCAATGAATGACATTGCGGCATTTGCGGCCGCCACATTAACGAGACGTAGGTAGGTACCGTAGTAGGTACGTCATATCATCATTCGGTCCGACATACATACGTACAAACATATATCACGCCTATATCCCTTGCGGGGTAGACAAAGCGCAAACGGCCACGTCTGACAAAAGCTTGAGAGTCGACTATTGTCAACCGTATTATGGTGGCGGTAATACCACGTACAATAGCAGGATTGACGTCAGTTGGTCGTCCGATCATAAAACATAGCCGAATCCTTTTGCTACATGATTTCGTTGATTTACAAATCATGTTGTGCCGACCCCAATTGATTTGGGGTTAGAGCAGGAAGATGTTGATGATTTTCAAATTCTGAAATCGCAGGAGAACAAGCAGGAGCTTCCTCTCATTCGAATATTTAGTTTTAAAATATAATTAAGAAACCTGGAGCGGGTAACGAAAATGCGACGAAAGACAGTCGATTTATATGTAGGTAGGTTTAGGTACGAGTACAATACCTAGTTATTAAGAGGAAGCCGATAGACAGACGATGTGGCGCAGTGGTTAGTATGCCTGCCAGCCACGCAAAGGTTCCGGGTTCAATTGCCGGAGGGGTCACTCACAAAGTTGATATTTATCTTATGACTTTGTGAATTTGTTCCCAGTCTGGTTAGAACATTGCAGGCTGAACCACCTGATTGTCCGCAAGTAAGATGGTTCTGTGCTTCGGATGGGCACGTTAAGCCGTCGGTCCCGGTTGCTGTCTATGATGGCGGTCGTTACACAACCATGTCAGAGGCCTGCTACTTGCAGTAAGCGGTTGAAAAACTCTGACACCAGGGTTCATCGGGTCGTTGAACGACTCGGTGTCCCACACGAAACGAGAGAAGAGGAAGCACAATTTCGTGTGAACCTAGACTGTATGAGTTCATTTCTGTGCATTGTTGTACTACACGTACTAGTTCAATCCACATCATCATGGTATAATAAGATACTCCGCCTGGTATTTCTTTCCGAGACTCGTGAACCACGTGACCAACACAAGACTACGTCATCATGCTTGTGGGTTACCAGAATTACCCACTCTTATGATGTTTTTTGTAAATCATATAAGATACTGTTAACTAATAAATAAAATTTAAGTGTTGCTGTAAAGTTAAAGTTAATACACACGTAAATCTAAATTATAAAATTATTAAGAAATATTTTAACCCTTTGTTCTGAGATTGAATTTACCCTATAACGTATTTTATTGAAATAAAGTGGCAATACTAAGTGACGTTGACTTGTGTTTCTCTGGGAAGGAAAGACCATGTTTTATTAGACTATGCACGTCATAACCTAACCTACTACTTAGATAGGTATGTATGTAGCTATAGTTACTAACATGCTACTAACTACTTCTGCATGCAGTGGTGTGTCATATTAGCAGGTGGAACTTTCACATGATTATCTTGTTGCTAATATGTTGAAGACAATGTTTCGAACGAGGAATGATTAAGGGGATAATAAGGTCCATAACGCAGATAATTTTATGGTGTACCTAGTAACCTAGTGATAGGACAGGTTTTTTATGCGGGCTCTGTGAGTGCCTATAGGTAGAGGTATACTGAAAAATCGTTTACGAGATTTCCGATAACGCCCAAATGACAGTTTTTCGTCGAAATGGAAACGATTGATCCAATACAGTCAATCAATACTACTTGAGCAATTAAAAGTTCATTGTATTAAAATTACCCACAACAAACACTCAATGAGTAGTAATAGGTAAAAAAAGAAGTCGGTAATTCCTAAAACAAACCCCGCACACACGCATACTACTATGTGAGTAAAGGACAGAACACACCGCCTCCGTATGCGTGAGTGCACGTCATCACGCGCTTCACTATAAAGTTGTATTGTATGGGCCCGCACGAGACACGGCACACGGTACGCGCGTGATGATTGATGACGTGCATGCATACGTAGGCAGTGTGCCGGCTCTCAAGGGCGCCACACACCGTTTCCGTATGCAGGACGTATGAAGGCGCGTCATCACGCGGTACACGCGTGGTTGTATTGTGTGGGATTGTATGAAATGCGGCACACTGCCTGTGAATGCATGGGCGTAATCACGCGTTCACCGCAGTGTGGTGTATGTATCTCACTCGGTCTCAAACAATACAACTTCATAGCTACGCGCGTGATCACGTGCACGTCACGCATACGGAGGCGGTATGTGGCGC